ACTTAAACACAGAAATTTGATGGTGGAAAACACCAGTTTATGAGTTTCTGAAATTTTGATTTTTTTTTCGTTTTTTCTTTTTGTTTTTTTTTGTTTCTTTTTCTCATTTTTTTTTCTTTCGATTCCTTTTGGCTTTTTTTACCACCATTTCTGCTTAGCGCTTTCATTTTTTCTTTTCCTTATTATTTTCTGTTTAGTATTTATGGTTTTTTTCGTGTTTTTTATTATTTTAATAATTATTCTTGTTTTCGTGACATTTTACCGTTGCAATTTACTTTTGTCACTTCCTTTTTTTCACTGGAACTTTATTATAGTGTCATTTTTACATCTACATATGATTCCGATAAATATGGATATTCTGAAATAATTCCTTATAATGTTCGATTTTTTCAAGGAATTCAATTATATTTTCTATATATAATCTCTAGGCGCTCAATTATTCTGAATATATGTGTTCTCTGCGTGATCTTTATGTACGTTAGCCGAGTGTTTTTGTAATAATCGAAGTAATTGATCAGTAGTTTTTTTGATGTAGGCATATCAGATTTGAGTTTTTTAATTTGCATAACAGAAATTGTTCAGTATATCGCATATTTTTACCTTTACACTGTCTATGGGACAATTAAATAACAAGAAACCTTTAACAGAACTAAAAGCATAGAAAACCACAAGCTTTACAAAAGGGTGATAGTCTATCATGTATAGTGATTCAGTTTTTGCATCACAAAGATTTTCATAATTAGAAAAATTGCTTACGAGAATTTCTACGGACTACTTCAGATGCTATAATACGTTGAAATAAGCAAAAATGTTAACGAGATATGGCTTAGGTTAAACTGAACGAAATATGATGGAAAATGTTGTCAGTTCATACCTCCCTGATAGGCGACCACGTTTAGTCAACAAAACTGAAATGTCACGTTCCATTCTTCACTCAAGCACTTTTGATGAGACAACCTGAATATCTATCGAGTCGACTTACTTTCGAAAAGTCTTTCATTAATTAATTAAATTACACTATTACATTCATTAAGCGATGGATGCGTTAATAAATTGAGGCAATTACTCAAATTAATATAAATTTCTGTTCATCTTACTGTGTAAATACCATTGAGTGACGTTCTCTATGTTGGATAGAGATTGAGTTACCAATCATGTTCTGAGTGGCAGTTATAATTCAAGTATTATTATGGTATGTATTTTGCATTGCATTCATAAAAGTGGATGTGAGATAATTATGATCGCTACTTGTCAGATCTGATAGATTGAAATATTTTAAAATTAAATTTAGAACAAATGATGTCTAGTAATTCACTTGAGAAATTATCTTTAAATAGATTATGTTGCCTCCTTATAAATGCCAGAAGAGATGTCAGAGTAAAATTTTCAGTATCATTATGTTTCGTTTTGTAAAACTGAATTCAATGTGCCATTTTGAGACTCCAAATTTCAGCGATTATAGAGTGAAAGTTTAGCTATATTATTAGTTCATATATTCATATTTGTAAGAATCACAAGTTGAAACTATTTATTCATATGCTACATGAGTGATCAGTTAAGCCACATTAATCACCCTTAAAACAAGAGCTTAAATAAAAGATTGTTATTCAACTTACCCCTACTTATCACTACAGCATCTGTTTCATATTCTCCATAAACTAAAAAAGTGAAAGGATATAAATCAAGTGTTATTCAGTTTATGAGTGATTAGTTGTGACAACAAATCAAGGTGAAATGAACCGTGAATATTAAACACAGGTATTACTATTGCTCTTTCTATCTATAGGCCAACTATGCAGTGGTTAACAATGATGTTTCATGTGTCTCTGTTAAAGTTGGCACCACAATGGCACCGTGCGATGAAACTACCAAGACAATTCTCAGAGAAATTAAGGGGTAACAGTATCAGTAGTGGAAAATAAGATTTACTATAGAAAACAAACGAGTAGCTATCACCAATAAGAAGATTTTTAAGATCAAAAGCCGATGTAAGATACCGAATGAATGCAACGGAGCAGCTTTGAATAACTCTGAGAGATTTCATCCAGTGTCTACTCACTGGTTGAGTCAGTCGCTTGTGTCACAACCACGTGATATACACCTACCTATCAACATAAAACCCATTATTTTCAACGCTTTGACATTAGTTGTGTAACTGTTCGATCAATGATTTACTTATTTGAAATCTGAAAAAAGCAAACTGAACAAGTAAACTAACGGTAGCTTCTGATGTTGATTTTCATGTATCTCCAAAATATAGTTGGTTTCATGAGTATGAGTGACAATTGAAATACGAAAATCATTGGACTGTAGCAAGCAAAATAATCAGGCTATGAGAACTATTAACTTAGAACACTAATTTCAGCAATACTGCACTTAATATGATGTAAATATCTAAACATTTGAAGCCTTAAATAATTTGTATAAGTGTTAGATAGGTAAATAAATAGGTAGTTTTATACTTGCTTGTATACATACATACTTCAATACATATTCATTAAGTGATAACTATTGATAATCAATACTCTGTTTTAATTAATAAAATTCATTTTTGTATTAAAAACATAGCTCATTCTAGAATATATACAATGGATATCTGATTATCTCTTTCCGTCCTACTAATTTAATGATCATAGTTAATTTGCATTCAAGATATGCTCTGTAATATATATATATATATATATATATATATATATATATATATATATATATATATATATATATATATATATATATATATATATATATATATATATATGGTGGATTAATTCTAAGTAACTTTGATGTACCAAATGTACCATCATCCTTGTTTTAGACTAAACTGTTATGAATTTAATAGGTTATAATTTACATAATGAGTTATTGAATTCAACTTTTCAAAATATATGTACATCAAAAAAATATCAATGATTATAATACTTTACTACTAATAAACTTGTCTCATTTAATAATAACTCAATTACATTGGCGAACTATACTACATAGTTAAGTAAAATATAAAAAAAGCTTACCTGATGAATAGCAGCAATGAATGAATACAGCAAATAAAATTAACTATAAAATAATTTAACATTGAAAATAATTATTGATGTGTAACATACGGAAAGTTTGAACATTATTTCTTTTTGTCAGAAATGTACTGCTGTAAAATGAATTGAGTTCACTCGTTTTATATAGAAATAAAATTATCGATTTATTGGTTGAATAAATTAATGTCCATTTTTAAGGAAATTCATGAAATTATGAATACTTTCTAAGTTCAGTATAGTGTTTCTAGTATTTGTAATTTCTTCTTAATAAATGATGTATAGTACATGCAGAGGCTACATAAATTTAAATACATGAACAGAGATATGTTTGTTTAAATCCGTTTATTTCATAGATACAAAATGATTGAAACGTATTAATAAAGTAAGAAGACATTTTGACAATTTAAAGAACAAAACTTATTTCCCCGCTACGTTATTGAATAATGGTGTTTAATAAAGCCCAAAGTGATTCAGAACACATAAGTCTATGATTAAAAATATTATGGTATTTGTACTAACTGATGATTCCATTATGCTTAATTGAGCACTTGTTACGAATTCCAATTATAATGCATTCAGTTGTGTTCATATTGTCCTACCCGCCTTAAATTACACTATTTCGGGAATTCGTAGTTGGCACATTATTTCGAATACTTCTAATTATCTTAAATATCCAGTTTATTAAAAACGGTTCTACTTTTATTTTAATAGCAAAATTTTGTATATTCATGTCCGAAACGTGAAGAGAAACAATAAAATGTAAATAAATGAAGGACACAAAAACATATGAATAAGGTTAGGAGTAAGGGGTGATGACTTATAAGTTTGGATTAAAAAGATGGTTTTCCGGTGTTTTTCACTCGTTTACATGGTTTTCTAAAAATATGGTAAACTTAGGGACATGTCATATCATTTGTTATTAGGTTGACCTAAAAACGCCGTCTGATTCTTAACGCATTCTTATATCAGTTGTCGAATGATCAGTAGGACAGAACGTTTTTTCTTAGGAATATGGTAATCAACATGCATAACTTACTTAAGCAATGCTGCCGATAAGTTCAACGTTCATAAACCGTATATTTTTGATACCATGCACATTATACCGCTTATTTTATGATGACTGATTTCTTTCAGTGACTACGAGTGGACAGCCCTATATAGAGAGTATTCCCTAGATTTGATTGAACAATTCGGAGAAAGTGTTTCATGACTTCAGAAATACAAAGTTGACATTATTTCTCTTTAGGCTACAAGGGAACCTAACATTAAACATTTTTATATAGTCCGTTGCAAACTAACTTTATGAATTGTCTCTAAAAACTAGACATAAATTCGCTGCTAAATTACAGTTTTTTAAACTCATCAGTTTCAAAAAATGTGACTTTTATATTTTAGCATATCTGTAAACAAAATTTCTTATTTGCAAATTACATGCTCTCAATGCAGCCAATAGTACGGTGATACGCAAACTTAACAATTTGTTTACCATTCATAAAATAGCCTACATTTCCTTTTAGTATAACGGCGTACGTGTTATCAAATTAATATTCCATATTCATCGCTTATTTGTAACAGCTGTCAATAGATTTCACTTATTATCCATTCTTTACCTTTCCGAATGGCGAATTAATACCTATTTTACTGGCCATGGGATATGGCTGGAGAGCTTAATAGTATTTTAATACCCTTTTTGGCCTCTTTCCACTAAGTGGGACTATTTACTTGAATTGCCCTCCATATGCCTCTATTGAATTTATATTCATCTTTACGTCGTCGGCATCAAACATGTACTAGAATATTAAGTAATCAACTGAGTTCAATTTGTGTTGATTGCCAATAAAGAATAAACCCTCACTACATAACATCGTTTTTTGTTTTGTAGTCTAATAATGTGCAATCTTGTTTTGAGAGTTACTTTTACCTTTTTTTCCATTTACACTCCTCTATTTCGTCTCTGTTTGTTATTAGCATATCAGGACTGAGTTCTCGTCGGTTCCACTACTATATTTTCATGTAACAAATAACGGTGATAAAACATAACATTATTTTCGAAAGAACAGATTTACTGATATATTTCACACCTTACTTTACTGATTGGAAACCACTTTAGAATTGGGTCAGTCACGTTATCGGAAATAAGTTCATTTTGAACTTTCTTATTCGATTAATTAAGTTGGGTGTTATTTAGAAATCCAAACTGTCAAAAACAGTAAAGTAGATGAGTATTATTTCTAAACACTTTCATAATAAACCTTGTTATCCAGTGCTTTATTGTCTTTCATACTGACAGGAACATTTCAGCACATATTTATATTTCCCCGAAATGTTGTAGCAGTAAATATATCCCCAAGATAAATAGCTCTGTAGGTTTTCGACATTGGATGCTGACCACATTATTTTTAATGGACTCACCTAGCTGAAGGAGCTCGGTCATGCGTCCGCATCAGATCACGAGTGGGAACGCCGTGTACAACAACCCGTGCAATCACTAGCCAGATTAGATCAGACAATCCCCGATATATTGATAGCCTATCAAATATACCTTCGAACCTCCTCACTTCTGTCTGTTGATTTCACTTGGTGGGTACGATTCATATTAGAAGGTGTTACTGGTCAAAGCGTTGTCAAACTCTGAATACCTGTGGCATCTTCATTGTTGAGCCCGACGTGATCTGGTACACCAAATTGCAAACTGTGAGTCTCTTCCGTTTTGGGATTTTATATATCATTGCTTTATTTTAATTTTTTATACATTGTGATACTTTTTTCCGTGTTTTTGGATATATTTTTTTCACTACTTTATGTGCTTCGTAAATTCCTTATAAATATGCTTATGTTCAAATATTACAGCTTATGTGAACGGGTTGTACATTTCTGACCGCTTGTTTAATCATGATGAGTCACAGAATAATTTACAGGTTATTGTGTTATCCGTATGAACTTGTAGTGACTCACATTTATCACGAGAACACGACTGGTTTAATAAAAACCATTATTATTATAACCAACTGTACCAGTGACTGTTTTAATGTGCTTTTGTTTGACTGTGCTAATGACAGCTATATTGTGCTTTCATTCTGATTCTCACACTTTTGATTGTGACTTCGCGCGAATTCGGTTACGTTCTGTAACCAAGCTTGTATCCTGGCACGATCTCGGTATCCTTTCGATACCACGAGATCGCCAGCAAATATATATCTCGATATGGTCCATCAATTGCCTTCTGGTATTTGGCTTCTCGGGGATTTTATGGATTTATTTGGTTACGTTCTACTTTCGCCTTCTGATCTACTTGGCACGTGTTTCTTTGTAGCGGTGTTCATAGTCAACCGCGACTCGACGCCACGCTACAAACTAATGAATGTTTTGTACTTGATTCATAGCTGATTCCAAACTCTAAATGCAATACGTTTGTTTGTGCTCACCCAGTTCTATTTGACCTAAAGCGCACTACTTCGTGAATTTCTAGGTAATACAATAATTCGAATACTCCTGATAATCATAGCTATACGGTTGCTTATTGGATTGTCGTTTAACACTTCTTACCACACGTCTATCCAATTAAAAGTTGTCCAAAGAACGCTTTATTTTAAACACTATTCACTGTAACCACGTATCACTGTGTCATGTCAGCAATGTAATAACGTTTAGTGAGAAATTCGGCAACAAAGACGTTTCCTTACGTCTTGTAGGCTTTTAGACAGTCTATGTTTATTCCGTTTCTGTCAATGATATAGTACATAGGTTTGAGATGGAGGAATCTTAAGGCTGCTTCTAAAGTCATTTTGAAGAGTCTGCATGATGAATCATGGAGTATGAAAACGTATATTTGTATATGAAGTAACATATCGTAAACGAGCTCATCTACAGTCGATCCAACGTCTGTTGTCGGACGTTTGCAGCTTAGAGTGAAACTTTACTGTCTGTGTAATCGTTCTACCAACCCGTTTGTCGTTCGGAACCGCGTGATTCTTAAAAGTATAGTCAGGCAACATAAACGTCCAGATTCAAGCTGGTGTACACGGTCTGTAGTAATAGATGAAAAGCAGCCGAAATTTACTACCCATCTTTTGATGAAGATGAGGGCCGCTGCCTCGTCAGAAATGTCCTCGATGGTTACTGCCTCTAACCATCGAGTGAAACAGTCTACACAAATCAAGAGACTAGAGTATTCTTTTTAATCTGGTAAACGTTCTACCAAATCAAGAGGAAAATGGTCGAAACGAGAGTCGAAAGTCTTGAAAGTGCCTCACGGACATTTGTTGTGTCTAATGACCTTAGATTTCAGGCAGTTTACACAGGACCGTACCCACTTCTTGTTCAGACCAGGCCAACAAAATTGTTCTGTCAAAAGTTTGATGACTGACACCTGAATTAGGGGATTTTGTGAACCATTAAAAACATTGAGTCCATAACGTTTTGGCACAATTGGTCGATCCTTATCTGTAGATGAAACATATAGTAAAGCTTTCTTACCCGTTCACATTTGTTTGATCCGTAGTTTTCGGGTCGTAGAAGATAACCCGTACTGAAGATTGCTGTTTTATTTTTGAAGCTAAGCACGTTTATTAAGCATAATACCTTGAAAACTATTCAAAAAAGTTATACGAGACAATGCGTCTGCCATTACGTTGTTTGCCCTAGAAATATGCTGTATATCTGAAGTGAATTGCAAGAAGTAGTCCAGTAGCTGAGACTATTGAGATAACCACTTCTTTGATGAGTAAAGAGAGGTGAGAGGACTCTGACCGGAAAACAGAATGAATTCCCAACCTCCCAAGAAAACAGACGTAACATCCTGATACGTAAAATAAGTCGAATAGTAAGATAACATACTACTTTACAACAAGCGACCAGACCACAATTAGGTGTTTGGTGTACCCAATCACGTTCAGCCCATCTTCAAAGATTTCACGGATATTCAGGGTATGACAATGCTTTTACCTGTGGCACTTTTATAAACAGAGGATATCAACCAAGTAAAATCAGAATGCATTCGAGAAAGAGTTACAGAACTATTTATTTCAAACTGTACATCTCTCGTGACAACCTTAAAAGACCAGTTTCACGGAAAACACAAAAATCGTCATACTGGACGACAACTCATGGAAACCACTCTCCATATTCAAGGAAATTATAACAAAATCAACTATGCTCGCAAAACAATGACTTCCAACCACATTCTATTATCACCTTGGGGACATTCCGCTAAATAATTTTGAGAGTCTTATAAGAATGGGTGAACAACGCTTGACAACGCTTTTCATTCTTTTCAAGTTGGTTAACAGACACTTAATTGGGTTATAGCATTTTCGACACGGAACTCTTAGCTATGTATTGCGTTGTAAGGCAATTTCAAACCCTGTGAATGGCCGAGAATTTGTTATTTGAGTACGACATGCCACATATCCCTCTCAACTACTAGCGCGCTCAGACCGGACGTTTCTCGACGCATCGAAAAACTTCCAAATGTGTCCTCGGGCTCATTTGTTCTTGACTACAGCTTACTTACTTACTTACGCCTGTTACTCACAATGGAGCATAGGCCGCTAACCAGCATTCTCCAACCCACTCTGTCATGGGCCTTCTTTTCTAGTTCCATCCAATTCTTGTTCATTTTTCTCATGTCTATCTCCATTTCTCGGCGTAATGTGTTCTTTGGTCTTCCTCCTTTCCTTTGACCTTCAGGATTCCATGTGAGGGCTTGCCTTGTGACGCAGTTGGCTGCTTTCTTCAATGTGTGTCCTATCCACTTCCAGCGCTTCTTCCTGATTTCTTCCTCCGCTGGGATCTGGTTTGTTCAACAGTGATCCATTCCTTGTGACAGTGCTCCTTGTGACCCAGGACCTCATGACATATTGAAGTGACTGCCTCTTTGATCCCCTTCCAGTTGCTCTCCACAGTAGTTCCTTCTCCATTGAGTAGATCATGAAACACCTGGAACTTGTTGCTGAGGACTATCTTGAATTTGTTGAGTTTGTTAGTATCCTGGAAAAAGGCCGTATTGAACTTTTGTGATATTGTCCGCCCCGTTGTCCAGTGTTTCTTGAGTTTCAATTTCATCTTGGCGACCAGCAAGTGATGATCTGATGCTATATCAGCTCCTCTCTTGGTTCTCACGTCTTCCATCTTCCTCCTGAACGTTTTGTTGATGCAAATATGGTCGATTTGGTTTTGTGTAGAGTGATCCGGTGAAGTCCATGTGGTTTTGTGTATGCGTTTATGTGGGAATATGGTGCCGCCTATGACCAGCTTATTGAAGGCACATAGATTTGCAAATCTCTCACCATTTTCGTTTCTTTCTCCCAGTCCGTGTCGTCACATGATGTCTTCATATCCAGTGTTGTCCGTTCCAACCTTGGCATTGAAATCTCCCATCAGAATGGTCAGGTCCTTTGTTGGGCACTTCTCGACGATTGACTGCAGCCTATTGTAGAATTGATCTTTAGCGTCTTCATTGTAGTCGTTGGTAGGCGCATAGCATTGGATGATGTTCATTGAAATGCCCTCTTTCTTTGTTTTGAACGAGGCTTTGATGATCCTTGGTCCATGAGATTCCCATCCTATAAGTGCATTTTGCGCTTGTTTGGACAGCATCAATGCAACTCCTTGTGTATGTGGTGCATTTTCTTCTTCATGGCCGGAGTATAACAGAAGCTCTCCTGTAGTTATTCGTTGTTGTCCAACTTGTGTCCAATGTGTTTCACTGATCCCAAGTACCTCTAGGTTGTATTTTCTCACTTCTGCAGCAATCTGGAAGGCTCTTCCGGTGTCCCACATTGTACGAACATTCAATGTACCTATATAAATGGTCGCTCTGGTTGTCAGAAGGGGCATCGGTCTCGTGACTTCCTAAGGAATTCGGCTTTCATCATGAGGCGTCATAATTCTTCTAAATGAAGACCTTCTGACTCCCAGGGCAGAGTTTAAGTG